GCATAATGCTCTCCAGTTCTATCTATGCCAGTGATGGCGAACCTATGACACTCATCTTTTTGGTTGATTTTTTCTTTGTTAAATGGCATTTAAATATATAAAATAAATATCAAAAATATAAATCTTTGTTTTACTATGGTTGCAAATATCAAAAAATTTCTATATGTGACACGGCACCAGAGTTAAGTTAGGGTTTTTCAAAATGCTGACACGCCGAGCTCAAAAGGTTCGCCATCACTGATCTATGCTGTTGCAAATGGTAAGAGTTCCTTCTTTTTTACCGCAGCGTAATATTGCATTGTGTAGATGTACCACAGTTTTCTAATCCACTCATCTGCTGATGGGCACTTAGGCTGTCTCCAGATCTTAGCTGCAGTATTATAAATTGTGCTGCTATGAACATAGGGGTGTGGACAGACTCTTCAAGGCCACCTGTCCCTGCTCCTGTTCCCTGGGACTTCTAGTCAGCACTTACCATGTCCCACCGCTGAGCCAAGTGCTTTATGGAAGGTGGGAACTTTCTGGGGGAGCCCCAGGAGAAGCCTGGCTTCTGAACCGATTGATAAATTAAACGAAGGGGTCGCAGACGACGCCTGCAGATCTGGCCTCTATCACTGATATGGACCATGTAGCCCGGGGGGGAGGGGGAGCCCAGTGGACTCAGCCACGAGGCAGGTGTGGGTGGTTGTGTCCTCCACCGCCCACCCCTTAGCCGTCTGATCCAGCAGGAAGCCCACCCCCCTAGGAAGAGGGAGGCCCCATTAGTGATGTCTTTATTATCCCTCCGTCAGAAATGGGACACCAGCACTCACGGAGGTGAAATAATCCGGCCAAAGTCACGCCCATAGTGTGACAGAGCTGGGGCTTGGCCCCAGGCGTCACGCTGGAGCCTGGGTTGTCTCCAGTGAGCGGAGGCTGGCTCCTGGGAGTCTTCCCCGGTGGTCCTGGCCCTCCCTCCAGTCCCTCTTCCTGGCAGCCCCTCGGGGACGATGGAGACCGTGCCCACCGGGCGTCGTCCGGGTCTCTGGTTCCTCTCACCTTGCGTTGGTTATCCAGTGTGCTTGCCCCTACCCCACCCTCTGGGGGCTGCCCCGCTGCAAAATGAGGCCGTGGGCTTCGGGGACCCTAGGTCACAGCTGAGTTCAGAGGGTCACCTGGCTCTGGACACCAAGCCCTGAGCAGATCTGACGGACCCTGACCTCAGCTGGAGGTCCAGAAGATGAGATGGGGGGACTCTGCCCTGTTAACACCCCTGCTCCACCTGTCTCTGCAGGTATCGCTGACTACAGACCCAAGGATGGAGAGACCATCGAGCTGAGGCTGGTTACCTGGTAGCCCCCAGCTCACCTCCCCCGGCCGCCTCGAACAATCTCTGCACCTCTATCCTCCTCCGTCCAGGCACGTGCCTGGCCCTGCCGCCGCCTCGTGTGCACTTGGAGCAATGTCCCCGGATCAGCCAGCCACCACCCCTGCAAGGCTCCCAAGCCACTGCCCACCTGGGAGTAGGGAGCCAGGCTCCCTCCCCGGGATGTCTGTCTGCTGGGTCTGGCCAGCCTGGCCCTGCGGGCGTCCCACGAAGGGCACTCATAGTCTGAAGGGCATGAAGCACCTCAGGCCCCTTAGCACAAGAAGTCCGCTGGCCGCTGGCAGTGTGAGTACCACCCGCTGTGGGCTTGGGGTCCTACCAGGAGACCGGTGCAGCCCAGGGGCTGAGCCTTGAACCCAGCTCTCAGGTCCCCTGTCAGGGTGGCGGCCCCAGGGCCAGCCGTGGCATAGCAGCTGGCGAGGACCCTGCAGGGCTGCTCAAAGCCTATCTTTGAAATGATTAAAGTGTTGATTATGCACGTGCGCCAGCGTCCTGATGCCTCATGCTAGGGAGCACATGCCGGGAGCAGAGAAAGGGGGGTACCCCTGGGAGGGGAAGAGGGTGGGTCAGTATGCCGGGTCCTGGGGGATACGGTGCTGGAAGTGGCAACACTCGCTGGACACTTCCTTGCATAACTCGGAGGGCGCTGATGCTTTTGTTGTCAGCTCTGCTTTACAGATAAAGAATCGGGTGTCAAAGAGGGAAAGTGACTCCGCAGTGACAGGCCTGGCTGAGGAGCTAGACAGACGGGGGCCAGGGGTGCCCTCCTGGCTCCTTCACTCAATCACTGAAAACTGGGGGCTTCAATGAGTGTTATGATCACACGGCAGAGACAGGGCCCTGGAGCGTGGGCTCCCACTCCTGGCTTCTCCCCAGTGCAGTCAGGACAGCACCCCAGGCCTCGGCAGCCAGAGTGGGGGGGCCCTATCTCTCAGGGGGAAGGCCGTGGGCTCTGGGATACCCTCTGGGAAGTGGAGTTCAGGTCAGGGAGACACTCTGAACACCCCACCCCACCCCACTGAGGTTAGGAAGGGTCTTGCCCTCTGAGGGGCCCTCTGATTGGCAGCACGTCCGTCGGGGTTTACGGTGACACACCCACAGAGTCCTCGAAACCATAGAGGAAACAGGTGCCTCTTCCTCGAATGCCAGTGTCAGATATGTAGGGTCCGGGCAGGTAGGGGAAGTAGGCGATTTAAAAATTCCTTGTAAAAAATAAATACGTTTGTATTGATTTCAGAGAGGAAGGGAGAAGGAGACAGAGAGAAACATCAATGGTGAGAGAGAATCATGGATCGGCTGCCTCCTGCACGCCCCACACCGGGGATCGAACCTGCTACCTAGGCATGTGCCCTGACTGGGAATCAACCATGACCTCCTGGTTCATAAGTCGAGTTCAACCACTGAGCCACACTGTCCAAGCAAAACATTCTTTTGTATTGAACCAAACATCGAACTATAGGCAAGCTCAAATGGAAAGGTGGCCTCCATTTTTAAGGTGAATCGTCTGTGCCCAGAACCCAGAGTGCTTGTTCGCTCATCCTCCCTTCATGGCAGCCTGGGGTACTACCAGGAGGACTCAGGACCCGCCCTGTGACTCCCCGTGACAGCCCCGTCGCAGAAGGTGGGGACCCAGAGAGGTCTGCAGCTTGCACACAGCCTAGAAGTAGCAGAGCCCACGCCTCACCCACTGACCCCAGCCCTCAGCACTTGCCACTGCACCACCCTGCCACCTCTCTACCCCTTGAGACAGCAACTGACCCCTCCCATGCAGGGGAGAACGGCCCCGGCTGCTCTTGGGCCAGGTTAGAGAGAGGGTAGGTGGCACATATTGGGAACACCCCCCGAACTGGGCTTTCTTTAATAAAAAAATATTTTTAATTTATTTGAGAGAGGGAGAGAGAGAGAGAGAGATCAACTATAAGAGAGAATCATGGATGAGAATCATGGATGGGCTGTCTCCTGCGTGCCCCATTCTGCGATCTGGCCACCAGAGGGCGCCTGGGACCGGGCTAAGTGGTGGCCCTTTGAGGACTTGTTCCTCCAGCCAGCGGTTCTCAACCTGTGGGTCGCGGTCCCTTTGGCGGTCGAACGACCCTTTCACAGGGGTCGCCTAAGACCATCCTGCAGATCAGATATTGCCATGACGATTCATAACAGTAGCAACATTACAGTTATGAAGTAGCAACGAAAATAATTTTATGGTTGGGTCACAACATGAGGAACTGTATTTAAAGGGCCAGAAGGTTGAGAACCACTGCGAGTCCAGACAGATTACTGTCATCAAAGGCAGTCTGGGGGTGAGCCCGTCCAGTGAAGGGGGGCGGAGGGCGGGGGGGGGCTGGGGGTGAGCGCTGTCCCGCGGGGAAGAGCTTCCGCAGGGAAGGAAGCCCCGTGTCAGGAAAGACGCGCCCAGCCGGCACTGGGCACCTGGCGAGGCGCTCGGGGAGGCCAGGAGTCCAGATGAGCTTGTCCTGCCCCCAAGCATCCCTCGTTCAGAGGGGAAGGCTGAGACCCAGGAAGGGACAAGGGCTTCGTGGCCGCTGCACCGTCTCCCAGGCAACCCAGGGCTCTCCGTCCGCTGGATAGAGCTGGGGCCGAGGGCGGACCCCGGGAAGTCCAGTGATGAGTCAGCTCTGCGTGCCCAGGAGGTGGGACCGGGCGGCCAGGGGTGACGGCGGCCAGCGGTACCCGGCTTCCGCAGCTGCGGTGGCCTCGGTGATTCAGCTTCCTTCGCCCGCCCAGAGGGGCCCGCCCGGGCTGGTGGAGGGAGGAGGCGCTGGGACTAGGGAGGGGCGATGGGGAGACCTTAGGGGACCCCGTGGTCCAGCTCTCCTGGATGCTGAGGTCCCACGGATAACTGTGGCCAGAGATGGGAAGGTCCCTAGAGGGTCCTGGGATGGGGACCCCTGGGAGGGTCCTCGGAGATGGGGTCTCCTGTTATTTATCTCAGAAAGATACATCCGTGGCCCTCCCTGTGTGGGGGCCCGCCTCGGCTCTGAGTGCGGGGAAAGCGGACAGACAGGCTGACCACTCAGCTGGGCCGGGTGGGGGGGCGAGGGCTGTCAGCTGATGGAGGGAATGCCAGGCCGATGGAGGAGGGTGGCGAGGGGCGGGGCGAGACATCCCTCGCGGCTCCGGGGGCGCGGCCTGGCCAGGGGCGGGGCCCAGCTTTCCCGGTGGGGCGCTGGCGGGCGGGCGGGAGGCGGCGGAGGCGGGGCCAAGAGCACGGGGCCTGGCCCCGCGGGCTGGGCCGGGGCTGGAGCCGGCGGGCGGGAGCGGCTGCCGGATTCACCGTCGCAGCTGCCGGAGCCGCAGCCGAAGCTGCCGGGAGCTGGAGGACAGTCCCCGCCGGAGTCGGAGTCGAGCCCAGCCGAGCTCACCGCCTGGCACCGGCCGGAGCGCGGGCCTGGGCACTGACGGAGGCAGGGAGCCGCGACGACTGGGCATCGCAGGACTCCACGGGGTGCAGGAGCCTGGATTACCCCGGCGGGGCCTGGTCATGGCCTGAACGCGCAGGAGATGCGCGCAGGAGATCCCGGAACCTGCACCGAAGAGGAAGAAGAACCGGGATTCTCTCTGCCTGGCTTGGGCACTAGGTCGGGAGAAGAGTAGAGACTCCACCTGGCACAGGCCAGAGAGCCTGGCATCCCAGCAGCCGCGACCTGGGCTCGGCACGGCTCCTGGACCTGGGCTGGCACGGCTCCTGGACCTGGGCTGGCACGGGCCTGGCAGAACAGGCCCTTAGCTCACCTGTCTGAAAGGAAGGCCGGGATCTGAGAAGCCAGGACCAGGTGGCAGGGCTCTCTGGTGGCTCCGGGGAGCTGGCCTCCTGCCCCAGCCCCACGGGCACGGATGTGCCGCTGTCCTCGGGAGCACCATGACAGCAGGATGACCTCTGCGGACACAGTGGCAGTGGCCGGCAGTGCTCGGGGGGCTGGGTCCCCCGAGTGGCCCCCTGAAGCCCCCCAGGCCCCTGGCCGGCCTGGCCGGGCCCGGGTGGCCATGGCAGCCCTGGTGTGGCTGCTGGCGGGAGCCAGCATGTCCAGTCTCAACAAGTGGATTTTCACGGTGCACGGCTTCAGGCGGCCCCTGCTGCTCTCGGCGCTGCACATGCTGGCCGCGGCGTTGGCATGCCACCGGGGGGCTCGGCGCCCCTTGCCCGGCGGTACCCACTGCCAAGTGCTGCTGCTCAGCCTGACCTTCGGCACCTCGATGGCCTGCGGCAACGTGGGCCTGAGCACGGTGCCCCTGGACCTGGCACAGCTGGCCACCACGACCACACCGCTGATCACGCTGGCCCTGTCGGCGCTGCTGCTGGGCCGGCGTCACCACCCGCTGCAGTTCGCCGCCATGGGCCCTCTCTGCCTGGGGGCTGCCTGCAGCCTGGCGGGTGAGCTCCGGACACCGCCCGCTGGCTGTGGCTTCCTGCTGGCTGCCACCTGCCTCCGTGGCCTCAAGTCCATCCAGCAGAGTGAGTGCCCGGGTCACTGTCAGAGGAGGCGGGGGTCGCGGTGGGTGTGTGGTCCGGGTGGCCCTGAGAGGGAGGTGGCCGACAGCCCATTTTACAGATGAAGCAACTGAGCCTCGCGGCTTTGGAAGAGGCAGAAACCGAGAAAACCCAAGAAGAGCCGACAACTCAGTGAGTTCCAGGCCCCAAACTTAGGCTGATATTTCATAATTGCTGCCCTTGATCTGTGTCCAGTGTTTCTTGTCTCTTTATCTAGCTGGATCTCCCCATACTGCCCTGATCAAGGAAATCACTATCTTGTCCCCATTTGACGGGGCGAGGGGTTGCCCTGGGCCGTGCGGCCAGTGAGCGGCGGAGGTGCGATCGGAACCCGGGCAGCCCATCTCCGTGCTGTCCTAGATGCTGCATAAGCTGTGGCCCCAGGGGGAGACCTGACCGTGGGGACCAGGGCGAGAGAAAGCGGGCAAGGCCTTGCGCTGGGCTTTGGAGGGCCAGGGGGTTGGCTAAGTCAGAGAAGGGTTCCTGTTTGCTGGGAGCTGCCGTGTAACAGGCCCCGTGCTGGGTGTTGACCTTGAGTCGTCATGGCAACCACCACCTTCACTCCCATTTTATAGATGATGGAACTGAGGCCCAGGGAGGTTTGTCATTTGCTCAGGGTTACCTCCCCTCTGCTGAAAGGAGACAGGGAGGGTCTGAGCAGAGGGCGGAGGCTCCAGGCGGAGACCCTGCTAACTCACCCTGTCTGAGGGCGGAGGCCGCCTTCCTGCTTGTTCTCTGAGGGGAGTCTGAGTCACAGCCCCACGCTCTCTGCCTAAACCCAAGGGAGGTGTGGGGGAGGCCAGGGCACCCACTCGGGCAGGGAGACCACCCCTCTGCTCATACTGGGTGACCTTGGGCAGATCTGGGGCTTGTCTGGGCCTCGGTCTCCCCATCTGTTTGGTGGAGAAGGGTTGGCGTGTCCCAGGGGCCTCTGGCTCTCCGTCCCTGCCCACTCTGAGATCCCGTGACCCAGTCCTGCGGGAAGGAAGGGGTGCCCCAAGGGCACTGGGCTGGGGTTGGGGCGACCTGCCGCCGGGCAGGTTGCAGCCGGGATCCGGCCCTGCCCTGGCATCTTCAGAGGCAGGCCCTGTCCCCACCCGCCCAGGCTCTGTGGCAGGGCCGGAGCCTCGTTCTATTTTTGCCCTCAGGTTATATGAGAGCGGGTGCCGGAGCTCAGGCCTGGGTTCTGGGCATGAGGAGACAGTGGGAAACCTGACCCCCTGGGCACACCCACCACCCCACCTCCCAGCCCACGCGGGGCCGCAGGCTGGGAAGGCTCCAGCCTTGAGGCTCCCCCAGAAGGAGCCCCCGCCTGCAGAATGGGTATGGCCGGCGAGAGCCTAGGCACCCAGGCACGGAGGGGTGGGTGCCTGGCATTAGGCCCCTTCTTGGCCTCTGCCAGCTCCTTCCATCTGTCCTGTGTCAACTGCCTGGCCCGGGAGGTGGGTTGGGTGCTTGCTCCGGGCTCCCACAGCACCCTCCGCGCCCCCCATCAAGCCTCTGAGCGCCCCCTATTATAGCTGCTTGGTTACCTGTCTGTGTCCCGTCAGACAGGAGCTCTGAGAGGCATGGGCGGGGTTGGGGCCTCTCCATGTCCCCAGCACCTGGCCTGGGACCTTAAGTGGTAGATGTATTAATGGCTCTGACCGCGATGAGGCTATGGTGAGGCTCTGTGCATGGCTCAGGGTGCTCCTGAGGGTGCTGAGGAGGCTGGGGCCCCACCAAACAGAGAGGGAGGCCCCGCAGAGATGGGGAGGGACAGACTGGAGCCAGAGGGGTGGCATGGGTTTGGGGCAAGAGGAGGTTTCTACTTCCGGAGGTTCGGGGAAAGGCGCCAGGGCAAGATTCCGATTGGAGTGTAAATGGTCGACACCGGCTCCCTTCGCGAGAGCAGACTCCGTGGGAGCAGAGGATGGTAGTCTGGGCAGCGGAGCAGCCAGCGGTCCTGGGCATGGCCAGCAGCCTCCCTCCCACCTGGGCCGGTTGCAGGCCGGGCGGGGAGGGGGGGAGGGCTATGTGGGGAGAGGAGTGAAGCCAACTCCCCACTCACAGGAAGGCTAGGAAGTGGGGTGTGAGCTTGTTCTCACCTGTGCATCAGGAGCAGCCTGGCCCGACCCCCGTCCTCGGAGCTCGCGGCCGGAGGGGAGACGCCCTCAGAAACAGCAATCGCAATGGTAGGAGAGAAACTCCAGAGCCATGATGGACACAGGTGTGGTCGGGGCAGTGACTCTAGGGGAGACCAGAGAAGGCTGCCCGAGGCAAGAGGCCTGCAGCGATGACAATAGCAATCCTATATAATAAAAGGCCAGGGACCATAAGCGTAAGGACCGGAATGACCGCTCGACCAGTCGCCATCGCCATGAGGTGCATTGACCACCTCTCATTCCCGCCCCCCCCACCCCCCACGCCGGGGCAGGCAGGGCGTCTCGGGCGGGGAGCTGGGCCTCTAGTAATATAATAATAGGCCTGGCTGGCGTGGCTCAGTGGTGGAGCATTGACCTATGAACCAGGAGGTCACGGTTCAATTCCCATGCTCAGGTTGCAGGCTCGATGGCCAGTGTGGGGTGTGCAGGAGGCAGCCTATCAGTGATTCTCTCTCATCACTGATGTTTTTATCTCTCCCTCTCTCTTCCTCTCAAAAAAAAAATAATAATAATAATGTTAGTAGCAAACACATGCTCTGCCCAGCTCTTCGCATTGAAAAATGAGGAAAGGGCATTCTGGGAGCAGGAAACAGGCTGTGCCAGGGCACGGGTATCGGCCACAGGAGCAGAGACAGCTGCCGTGGTCAGCAGTTACCACCGGGCACCAGGCCCTGTGCCCAGCACCTCACCTGGCCCTGCTACGCATGAGCAGACAAGGCCTGGAGAGAGGGTGGCTTGCCTGGGTGGCACAGCTAGCGATGGAGTAAGGACGGGATGAGCCAGGGCCCAGCAGAACATGTTTGTCTACGTGCGGCAGAGCCTGGTATGTTCAGATGCTGAAACAAAAAAAATGTCTTTGGAGAAGGAGAGGAAGAAATGGAAGGTTGTGGGGGGCGGCGAGGGGGCTGGCAGAGGAGGGGTCGCTGAGGAGGCAGGATGGCGAGCTGGCATTTTGGGGGCCCCGGGTGCAGTGAGCCGCCTCTGACAGAGGATCACCCCTCTCTCCCTGGGCTGCAGGGAGGCGAGGCAGAGGACTGGGGTGGGGGTGTGTGTGCAGAACAGGGGCAGAGGCTGGGTGAGGAGGCTAGGACCCTCCTGCCTGACTGTCTCGCACCTGAAATCCTAAACGCCTCCCAGCGATTGGACCTTGAACATGGAGGCCACAGGCAGCTCCTAACGGTGCTATATTTGGAGCGAGCCAGCGAGCGAGGGAGCAGGAGGTATTCCAATTATCTGTTCATTTCTAGAAATGCTCTAGCCGGAGGGACTGTTGCCTAGAGAACAAAGCCAAAACATCAGAGTGAAATAGAGATTTCCTGTTCCAAGCGTAGCCCATGAGTAAGCTTCTCTGTGGCTCTTTGGAAAGTGTGTGTCAGAAGATGCAGAGAGGAGAACCCCTGAATCCGTCACTCATCTCTCGCCCCTAAAACTTGGACGAGCCCCCAAACCATCATTGCCTTCGTGCAGATACTCCCACTGCCCTGAGCGGTGTCTGACTTTGATGAGGGGCACCACTTCCTATGTGAACTGGCTGGGTGATAACGTGTGTACGCATAGACACACACACCCGCACACATGTTCACACATATGCAAGGTGGTAGAATCCATTCTTTCTTTCTTTTTTTTTAAATATATTTTTATTGCCCTGACCGGTTTGGCTCAGTGGATAGAGCGTCGGCCTGCGAACTGAAGGGTCCCAGGTTCGATTCAGGTCAAGGGCATGTACCTTGGTTGCGGGCACATCCCCAGTAGGGGGTGTGCAGGAGGCAGCTGATGGATGTTTCTCTCTCATCGATGTTTCTAACTCTCTATCCCTCTCCCTTCCTCTCTGTAAAAAATCAATAAAATATATATTTTTTAAAAAAAGAAACATCAATGATGAGAGGGAATCATTGATTGGTTGCCTCCTGCACGCCCCACACGGGGGATCGAGCCCACAACCCGGGCATGTGCCCTGACTGGGAATTGAACTGTGGCCTCCTGGTTCATAGGTCGACACTCAACCACTGAGCCACGCCGGCCGGGCTCCCCTCTTTCTTTGCAAAGCTGAAAGATTTCCCCTTACTCCTGGATCCATCTCGACAAGCCCCAGTGTTGGTAGCAGAAGATGCTGATTAGTGGATGACAGCCACATGCAAACAATGACTCTTTTGTTGTTCTCTTGTCATGCCCGTGGTCATAAGTGGATGAAGCAATGAGTGGACCCCACATTTGACTCAAACAATTTATTATTTTAAAATTCCTTTTTCTTTTTAAATATAAAGGTCATGTAGCTATTAAGTGGCAGAGCTGGAGACTTCTGCTGGCCTGTCCCTGCTATGGTGGTGGGAGCTGCACTGTGGGGTAGTGGGTGTGATAAGGGCTGAGATCAAAAAAGGTGGGTCAGGACCACTTCGTGCAGGGCCTTCTGCACTGGTTAAGAACCTAGGATAGCCCAGCTGGTGTGGCTCAGTGGTTGAGCATCGACCTACAAAGCAGAAGGCCAGGGTTCAATTCCAGGTCGGGGCACATGCCCAGGTTGTGGGCTCGATTCCCAGTGTGGAGTGTGCAGGAGGCAGCTAATCAGTGATTTTCATCACTGATGTTTCTATTTCTCTCTCCCTCTTCCTTCCTCTCTGAAATCAATAAGATATATTTTTTAAAAAAGAAAGAAAAAAGAACCTAGGATATTGTTCCCTGGGCCTGGGGAGCCGCTGAAGATTTTTGGGAGCCACTTCTCATGTTTATTGGTCATTTGGAAATCACTTGTAGATTATCGTTTTAATCTATGGGGAGCAGTTTGAAATGCGTGATAATAGGCCCATTTATTTTATTTTTTTACATTTACTGAGCACTTACCTTATAAAGGGCTTTATGTATGCTATCTATTATAATCTTTATAAAAACCCTTGCATATTAGGTTTTATTTTTTTTATTATTATTTTTAAAATGTATTTTTATTGATTTCAGAGAGGAAGGAAGAGGGAGAGAGAGAAAGATCAATGATGGGAATCATGGATTGGCTGCCTCCTGCACGCCCCACCCTGGGGATCGAGCCCACAACCCCGGCCTGTGCCCTGACCGGGAATTGAACGGAGACCTCCTGGTTCCTAGGCCAACGCTCAAGCATGCCAGCTGGGCCGTATTAGGTTTTACTATCATCTAACTTTGCAGGGGAGGAGACCTAAGCCTCCAGAGGTTAACTGTCTGGTCACAGCTAGTGAGGTCACCACCAGGCAGTGTGATTCGGATTCTTGACTATCACGTTCCAGAGCAGGAGCCGCTAGCTCTGCCCGAGCGGGTGGGCAGGCTTCCTGGAGGTGGGGCCGCGGGGGGCAGGCTGGGTTGGCGAAGTGGGGTTTCCTCCCCCCAGGGGCAGGTGCTGATGTGTGCTGTCCGCCTGCAGGTGCCCTGCTGCAGGAGGAGCGGCTGGACGCGGTGACCCTGCTGTACGCCACCTCGCTGCCCAGCTTCTGCCTGCTGGCCGGCGCCGCCCTGGTGCTGGAGGCCGGGGTGGCCCTGTCGCCGGCTCCCACCGACTGCCGCCTCTGGGCCTGCATCCTGCTCAGCTGCCTCCTGTCCGTGCTCTACAACCTGGCCAGCTTCTCCCTGCTGGCCCTCACCTCCGCCCTCACCGTCCACGTCCTGGGCAACCTCACTGTCGTGGGCAACCTCGTCCTGTCCCGGCTCCTGTTCGGCAGCCACCTCAGCACCCTCAGCTACGTGGGCATCGCGCTCACCCTCGCAGGGATGTTCCTTTACCACAACTGCGAGGTCGTGGCCTCCTGGGCTGCCCGCTGGGGCTTCTGGCGGAGGAACCCCCCTGGCAAGGGTCTCTGAGGCCTGGGAGAGCGCCTGGGCCGTCGGGGACAGCGCCCCCAGCCTGAACCCAACTTGGCCAGTGGCTATGGGACAAGCGGAGAGCAGGCAGCCACGGGGCCGTGGGAGGGCGAGGTGCCTTCGGGAAAGGCCACCTGGGGGGCTGGACATGATTTTTACCCTAATTTGACTCCTTGAAGTTTCCCAAACATATCACCCCAGGCCCCGCTCACCACTGGATGGTGGGTCCACGCCTGGCACACTCACTGTGCCTGTCAGAGTAATTATTATTAATCCGACGACTACGCCGAAAACTGCTGGCCAAACTTCGAGAACCTCTCCGTGTTCTGATGACGACGATGACGATTCCTGGCGGGTGCACAATCCTCCCTCCAGGAAGCGGGGGAGGCAGCTGGGGGGCCCCGGGACGGGCTTGTTGCTGCTGGGCTCCCCTGGTGGGGGGGTGTCATCTGTGCCAATTCCCGGCAGCTGCTGTAGCCTCATCCCTGGACCCTCCAGTTTTGGGTCTTCCGCCCTCAAATAAACTATTTTTGCTTGTATCCCCTGTGTCGTTCCTCAGGGTGACAGCCAAGGAGATACAGCGGAATCTCGTTTCTCGAACTTAATTCGTTCCGGAAGGCTGTTTGAAAATCGAATCATTTTTGCCCCCCTAGAAATCATGTAAATTAATCTATTCCAGACCCCCCCCCAATGATCCCGTTTTAACCTTTCTTATATATTGTACTGTTTAATCCATAAACAAACACCTTAAAAACAAAAGGACGTGAAAATTTAGTAAGAAAGGAAATATACATAAAAAATGAAAAATGTTTTAAAAATGGAAATTTAACAATAATTATAAGCAGCAAAAAAACCACGAGAATATTCAGAGCACCAGATCCCGAGATGTTAACCGTGGTAACCGGACTCATACTCGCGCGCTCTCTCCCTTGCCACCTGAGAGATGCTTGACTGTCATACAGGTATCGGCATGAAAGGGCTGTCAGGTTGGGAAGCGAATTGTTCGAGATGGGAGACGTTCGAGAAACGAGGTTCCACCGTATGGCCCCCAGCCACCCACAGAAAGATGCGGACATCCTTCCTTACGCACTGTGACCTGTCCCCTTCTCCAAAGTCCCTCCACTGGCCGGGCCACCACTGCCCATCAGGGAGGCAGTGGCTTCCTCCCCGCTCTGCTCTTCACTCCAACTTCCACGCGGTCCCAGAAGGATCTTCCTAAAACACACACCTTCTGCCCCACCTGGTTTGGCTCAGTCGATAGAGCATCCGGCCTGTGGACTGGAGGGTCCCAGGTTTGATTCTGGTCAAGGGCAGGTACCTCGGTTGTAAGCTCCATCCCCGGCCCTGTTCGGGGCCCGTGTGGAGGCAACCAATCGATGTGTCTCTCTCACATCGATGTTTCTCTCTCTATCTCTCCCCTCCTTCCACTCTCTCTAAAAATCAATGGGAAAATATCCTCAGGAGAGGATTCAAAACAACAAAACAAAAAAACCAAAACTGCAAGGACCCTGCCTGGGTTAGGGGAAATCCTGCTCAGCCCGCCTCACTGTATGTCTGAGGTGGGTAGCTGCCCTTCCCTGGGCCTCAGTTTCTGTATCTGCAAAATGGGTATGATGATCCCAAGGAGAGGGTTCCAGTGAGAAGCCCGATGGGCAGGGCCCGAGAAGAAGGGGGGTGATGGTGTCAGCTGGCTTGGCCCCCATCTTGGGCTGTCATCTTCTCACCCACTTTCTCTGAGGCTCCAGGCCCACCGGGAAAGTGGAGACAGCCTCTGCTTGCTTCGTGAGGAGGAGAGCTAGACCAGGTTGGGGCTGGGATCCAGGGGCCTGGGACTCAGGGAGGAGTCATTCATGCCTTCGCACAGACAGAATTCCTGCAGGACCGCCATGCCAGCCAGCGCTAGGCAGGGCTGTGTGAGCCCACGGCCGGGGTTGGGGGCAGGGAAGGCCTGGGAGTCACCTGGCCCAGGAAGGACAGATGCAGGGTTTCCCGGCCCTGGCCTCCACCCAGGCTGGCCTTGCAGGGGGAAGTGGGCCCAGGGTGAGTCACTCACCACCCACCCTCCCTGTGACTCAGAGATGCCCGTGGCCCAGCCCTGTCCTGGTGTCACTCAGGCACCTCCGGGGTCCAATCCGCAGCCTGGCGAGACGGGACAAAGGATGGACGGCTTTGGGTGGGCAGAGCCTCCTCCGGACTCAGGGTAACAGATGTCACCTTCCTTGGGCAGTTCTTCCCTACCTCCAGCCCCGCTCTGCCCCAGGCCACGCCGAGTCAAAGGTCACCCGCAGCTCCCTGCACTTCTGCAGGCAGGGCCCTGTGCACATTCCATTCTCAGCCCTGGTTTACCGCCTCTTCCCCACCGGACTGGGCCCGGGGAAGGCTGAGGCCACTGTCCCCTCAGATGAAGCAGGCAGAAGAGACTAATAGCCAAGAGCAGGGGCCAGAGTGGGTTCAAATCCCAGCTCTGGCACGTCCAAGCCGTGTGACCCGGGGCCGGGCCTTCCCCTCCTGTGCCTGTTTGTGAACTGGGAGCAGCCGCAGAGCCTACCCCCATCTCGCCCGGGAGGCTCCAAGTGCTTAGCAACAGGGTCTGGAACCTCCCAGGTCCTCGAGGAAAGTTAGGAGACGGCTCACTCCAGATGCTGTCCAGTTCCGCCCCCAAGGCTTCTCATGCTCCCCGACCCCCAGCCTTCAATGCACGGGGGGGCCCCCAGGGCTGCAGGCGGGAGGGACACCCCAGCTCCCACCACCCTGCCCCGCCTGGGAGGAAGCCGGGAAGCTGGCTCTGAGCTGGGCATCCTGCCATTGTGAATTCAGAACAAAGCTGCGGCCTTGTCTCAGCCTCAGCTGCCAGGGGCCCCGGCCCTCTCCCCAAGGGGCCCTGGGGTTGCCATTCCGGGGGCCGGGGCAAATGAGGACTCTTCTCACTTCCTACTCTGCTCCCGAGTCAGCTGAGGGACCCAGCAACTCCGCTCTCCCCGCTTGGGTGCAGATACTTCCTGGAAACACCAAACACCATGGAGAGCCATGGAAGGTTCTGAGCGGCAGGCAAGAGCCAGGATGTTCGAGAAACATTTCCTGATAACGGCCCTTCGGTCGGTCTGGATCCGGTGTGGAGGAGATACCGAAGGGGCAGGGAGGCCAGGGAAGAGCTATTGCTGTGGTCCGGGCGAGCAGGGGACAGGGGGGGCCGTGCCCTGGGCCCACACATAGCAGCATCAGTTGTACTGAATTGGGGTGACAATTATCCCCAAATGTTATGCCTGAAAGCATTATGGCTTCAGGACAGACAGACAGAGGGAAGTGATTCTTTTCTTTTCCATCTGGCCCCGCCCCCAGTGAAGCCTCAGACTGAAGTTGAAACTTGCAACTCTGTGGGATCCATTTCTCAAGCTCCCTCCTCCCCATGACCTTCCCCCCGCTCCCTCCCTCCAGTTTCCAAGACCCTTCATTCATTCTCTTTCCCCCCCCCCTTCATTCATTCTCTTTTTTTTCCCCTTCATTCATTCTCTAGGCCTCCAGCTGGAACTCAGGGCCCTTAATCTCCTTACTCTGCTGCACACGTTCTGTGAATGGATCTGCTTCGGGGCCAAGTGACTGAGATGAAGAGAAAAAAGGAAATGGCCACCGCTGGTCCGAGGCGAGGTTTGGGCCTGCAGCTCCAGCCTTCTGAGCCAGGGCCTGGGAGAGGAACCCGGGGCCTGCTGTCAGGCCTTCTCTCCACAGGTGCCCTAGAGAAACGAATGCCGCCTTCCAGCAAAGGCTGGTGGGGATTGCCAAGGGCACTTTCAGACCTTATTATGTACAACAGCACTTGGGAAAAAAAGTTAAAAAAATGTTATATGGTGGAATGCTGTCTTTGAAAATTATCATACGCATATATCAAATCCAGAAAACCAGAGCTGGCCCTGTGGTTGCAGGTGGGAGCGGCACTGGCCCGGAACCCCTAGGGTTCCCAGAGCACCATGGACGGTCACTTATCCAGTAGGTTAAGCAAGGAGGAGCCATGATGCTTAAGGCTCTTGTTTTGAAAGAACGAGGTGGGATTGCGGCGCTCAGGCCTGGGTTAGCTGGTCTCGGGGGGAGGCTGCCGGACTCCAGTCTTGCTTTGGGCGCCGGTCCGTTTGACCCAGGCACCACCTGCCTTACTCACTCTCCCCTCTGACCAGTAGCCATGACCCGTCACTCACGGGGTAGGAAACTTATCTTCACCATTTTACACTTAGTGAGTTTAATCTTTAAAGAGATGGATAACAAGATAAAAGCTACGGCACGCTTCCTTTTTTATTGCTCTGATAAAAGGCAACATGTTTTTTTTTCTGTAGCACAAAAGTAGGATGTTTCAGTTCTTAGTGCAGGATCAATGGCAGATCTGCACCTCTGACCCCCGATGCAGGGGTCGGGGGCATGGCTTACAGTGGAATCATTAAACGAACCTCCTTCTCGTAGATGTCAGGGACCCTGCCCACGGGGGAGCTGACCATGCGCACGGTGTTCTTGCCAAACAGCTGGAACTCATAGTGAATGAGCTGCTCCCAAAATCCACTGTTGGGCCGGATGATGGGCCGACAGGACTTGGTCCAGGCGTGGGCCTCCAGCAGGGACATGGTGTGGTACTTCATGAGGTAGGCGAGGCACAGGGCAGCCGAGCGGCTCACACCGGCCGCGCAGTGGAGCAGCGTGCGGCCCTGCTTCATCCCGACATCGTGGATGTGGTCGGCAATGGGGTCGAAGAAGTCACGGAGATGTGCCGTGGGAGTGTCGGCCACAGGCACCTGCACATACTGGATGTCTTCATACAAGGTGCTCACCACCTCCACCGAGACATTGACGACCGAGGTGATGTGGTTGCTGGAGAGCATGAGCCTGTTGTTGGCGGCCACCCCATTGCTGATATACAGGCTGCTGGTGATCTGGGAGAGGCCGCTGACCGAGGGCCGTGGGAACTGAAGCGGGGAGGTACAGGGAGATGCGGTCATCAGGCCGGTGGTCAGCGGCCAGTGAGACATGCAGGCCGCATCTTTCTGCTAGGCTGTGTCCATGGAAAACTGCAAGGAGGGAGAGAATGTTTAGAGGGCGGGAGCCCTGCCAATGGCCCAGCATCGAATGCATCAGGCTCACCTCGGGGATGGGGGCTTGTTTGTTCCAAAGATCGCGTGAGGGCAGGGAAAAAGCCTCCCTCTCCCCAAACCAGTTGGAAGCCTAAATGTCCTGGATCCTGCTCATCCAAAAACCCAGAGAGAAGTGGGCTTCGGTCCGAAAGCCGGCCTTTCTGGTCTCAGTAGATGTGGGACAAGTCCGCAAACACCGCGGGGCGCCTGTTAATCCTGATATAAATGAGGAACGAAGTTCACGGGTGGGCCGGAGGGAGGCGCCATTTCCAGGGGAGAGCCAGATAGGTTTCTTAGGAAGTTAGCGCAGCAACGGGCTTCCTATCGGCTGGGTATCAAGACCCAGATGGTCTGACCTCTCCGCCGCGGGCGCGAGCGCAGGTTCGTTCAGAAAGCAACCGTGCCCGAAGCCTCGGACCAAGGTCTCGAGGAAAGAAGACCAATCCGATCACCGCCTCCCCCGCCCCGGCCACGGGAGCCATCGTTCCCTGCGGCCCAACGCTCTGGTTTCCATAGTAATGGTCCCTCATCCGGGAAGAAATCCGCCGTGCCGAGTCTTCGGAGACACCACGGCCTCGTCTCCCAGCCCGGGAGCCGCCCCGCCCGGACTCACCCGGTTACCCGCTCCACGATCACGCGGAGGCCACAGCCGTCCGAGTCGAAAAGTAGGGTCCGTTCAGCGCGCGCAGCCCACTTCCCTGGCCTAGCGCGTCTCCATGGCAACGTACCCGATCACGCTACGGCAGCCGCCGAGGGACAATCCCGCCGCGCCCGCCGCCTTCCGGGTCCCGCGCGCTTCCGGTCCTCCCGGCCCCGCCCCCTCGCTTGTTTCCGGGGCAACGAGCCCTACTCAGCGCACTGCGTCTGCGCGGGGGCTCACTCCACGGCCGCGCGCGCCCACAGAGCATGGCTGCCAGTGAACCTCCCCCGCCTGAGTCGTCCCCGAACGTGGAGAACGAGGCTGTCCAGCAGCACAGGCCCTCGGTCTCCTGGAAATTAACCTCGCCCGCCAACGCGGCCGCCAGGAAGACCAGTGGCATTTACCCGGCCTCAGCCGCGTTCCAGCGCCACCGGCTCATCAGCCGCCCCGAAATCAACTTAGGGACCCAGCCGCAGATCTGTTTCCTGCAGCCGCGGACCTCGCAGCCGCTAGTGCTCTTCAGGTGCGGACGGTCCGGGTGTGGAGAGCGTCTGTCGGACACCGGGGCCCTTGAGGGAGCCCGAAGTGCCGCGGACCCCCGCCCCCTCAGCTGGCCCCCGAGACCCCGGCGCTGTCACTCCCAGAGCCTGGCTCTGTCCGGGACCCCAGGAGAGTGGATGCCCCACAGACTCCGGGGAGGAACCGGAAGTCCCACCTGCAACCCACAGGTCCGACCGGGCTTGTCCCAGCCCCGTCGGCTCCCAGGCTGGACCTCGTGCAGCCCGGGGCCCCCCAGCGCCCTTGGGGCCGAGCCTTGGACTTCCTGAGAGCCGGGCGGGCGGGGCGCAGGTCCCTTCAGGCCTGACACCCCGCTCCTCAGCTTCCGGGTTCCCCAGGGGCCCTGGGAAAACCTCTGTTTCCCCCAGGCCGGCCCCAGTCCCCGTAGACACCCATTTCTCCCCGCTATTTCCATTTCTCACCCCCGGCCAGCATCCTCCAGCCTCCCCCAGAGGCCTTGCTTTGGAAGACAGTTTGGTTCAAAATGACCATTTGTTACTTGAAATATTCCCGGTCCCTGCCTTTTTTTCTCTCTTCGTAGGAAATATTGGTGAATTTGGTGCACCACTGAATGGGAGACATGTTTCATGTGTCTTAAATATTTTAAGTTTTGTTGTTGTTGTTTTAAACAGGATTTGGGGGACTTTTGTATGTGTGCATCTTGATCCCTATATGAACACCCTTTTTCTCTTTTTAATATATTTTTATTGATTTCAGAGAGGAAGGGAGAGGGATAGAAACATCAATGATGAGAGAGGATCATGGATCGGCTGCCTCCTGCACACCCCCCTCCAGGGATCAGGGGATGGAGCTCAAAACCCGGCATGTGCCCCCGACCTGAATCGAACCGGGGACCCTTAAGTCTGCAGGCCAACGCTCTATCCTCTATCCGCTGAGCCAAACAAGCTACCCTTTTTCTTCACCTCATGCCTTTGCTATCAGAAAAATGGAACTGGGAGATTGGGACCGTGTGTTTATTTTCACCAGCTTGTGAATGTAAAAACATTCATAAAATGGTTCCAAATCGGCTGAGATGAATTAGAAAAAAAAAAATTTTTAAACTCCCAGAATGTTTTCTTTTAAAATTTGTCCTTTTTTGTCCTATGAGAGTAAGTATACACTTATTATAGAAAAATCAGGCAAGACAGACAACCAAAAAGAATGGCCAGAGTCAATCCCTTTAACATTTTGATATGCATTATTCCAGATCCATTCATATATGTTTACACATTTGGGGTGAGGGTGTGTCATCAAAAAGTTCACTAATTTGTAGCCTGCTTTCCTCCCCACCTACTACACTATGAATGTCTGTTTTATACATAACTGCCGAGTATTTTATTGTAGGACGTAACCACAATTTATTCAGTTGCTTCCCTGCTGTACATTTAGTTTCCAAAGTTTAGAAAGAAAATATGAGCAACTATTTTGAAGTGGGCAAAAACATTTAAAGGTACATGATTGTAAAGTCACTTCATGGTATAACCAAAATTACCAAAGAGTGAAAACTCGGTGCCTGATATTACCTTATTTTTGACCCAATCATTCTCTCTAGTTTCACCTGGCTCATTTCACTCCACCCCTCCCGACCCCAAACCACCTTCTACCTCTCACCCTTCATTCTCCTCCAACGTTTGTCTGTCCCATACTTCCCTTACTTTGACTTTTTCCCCCAAACCCTTTTCTCTTAGAATTCCCGTATTAGGCAACCTAACCTCTGTCCAAACTCTTTGAGCCTCCTTAGATCTAGGCTCTGGAGCAAGTGCCCCCACTTCAGCGCCCCTCAAATTCAGCCCTTCGAACCCTACCCTACAACTTCTGCTCCTCTTCCCTAAGACCCCCCCACTTTCCATTTCCTCCTGCATTTTCTCCTTAAGACGGCTGCTCCAGCAGACAGTTCTGAGCCCTTGTTGACCCTTCCCTTGTGGACTGCTCTTTCTCCATCCTTCTCAGGATGGCTTTTCCTATCGGCATTCAAGGAACTACCCCTTTAGCGCACATTTTTCCCACAAGAAGAAACCTAGGCCTCCCTTGCTTCTCTGGCAATCACGACAGAGCTGTTCCTCTCAAGAAACCTGGGGAGGCCTCAGCCACTATCCCAGGACCCTAGCAGATCAGGCCCTGGCCTCAGCCATCTTAACCTGTCCCACCTTCCTCTGCCCCTCCAGCTTAATGAATTCCAGCGAAGCGGCCGTGACAAAATTTTTACCCAAGAGCCACTTATCTCGGGTGATTATTCGTGACAACCTCAGTGCGCAACGAATCTATGAGTTGGAGGTAAAGTCCTCACCAGCTTTTGTGTTAGAGGGTGTTGGTGGCTTGACCCACGTTCGTTTCACTCTCCCTGATTCCTTGGGGGGGGGGGTTCCCAGGTCTTAGAGGGGATGGGGAGTCACGAAGGTGCTCTAATGCAAGTCCCATTTTCTGGAGGAGGCTGAAACTCGGGGTTACTGACTTGCCCAGGGTGTCACTGCTGTTCCTGTGCTGATGGCGCCTGGGAAAACGATTTCATGTTTTGGATCTCGTGGCATTCTCCCTCACCCCCCACTCCCCACCCCCCGCCCCCATCCAAAGCACATTACACCTTTCTATTTGGGGAATCCATGGATGGATTCCTACTATCTCCCATTAAAAAAAGTCTTGGGTCCTAGAGCTTAAAGTGGCATCAACATAGTTTGGTCAGTTTTTTTGGGGGGAATTAACCCCCACTTTTCATATGAGAATTGAGGTTCTTCTACTTTTTGCTGATGGACAACTAGGGTTTGACCTGCTTGGTTGAAAGCTGTCAGGAGAAGAGGAGGGAAACCACAGAGGCATCGCCCCACAGACCCTGACTGGTTCATTCATTAAATGTGTCTTGAGGGTCTGCTTGGGAAGGCGCTGTGTGTGGGGGAAGGGGAAGAAACCAGTGAATAGGATGGATTCCGGAAATGTACTCATTTCTTCGAGCAGAGCAGGCAGCCCGGAATTGACTCTGTTGAGCTTCCCTCCATGTTACAGGAGGATGGGCCCATGGGATTCTCTCTTAAGGAGGCTTAAGAGATGGGGCCAGGTTCTCTTAAGCCTCCTTAAGAGAGAATAGAAGCCTGGGTATTTCTCCATCTGCTAACCCTCCAGTGACCTGCTGTAGGAAAAATAGGATGACCTCTTGTCTGGTTCTGTTTCCACATGCCCAACACTTCCCCGTCCTTCAAAACCCAACCCCCCGATTCTTATTGCGACCCTCAGAGGACTTTTCCTGCTCTCTCCCCACTTTGAACTCTGTTTGTTTGTTTGTTTGTTTGTTTTTAAGGGATGTGTCACTCTCTGCCTTGCTTAGAAACATTTGGGCTTGTGTCCCATCTTCCTGACTGTGTTGTAATTTCTGTGAAGATAGGCAGCTGATTCTCCTTAGTGTCCTCTCCGCAGCTAGCTCATTGGAATAAATAAATGAACGAGTAAGGTAGAGGATGTGCCTTCCCAGAGCCTAGAGTCTTGGGGACAGGACAGAAGTGACATCATAGAAGAAGTAACTAGCGTTCAAAGGGAGGCAGGGAATGTCCCATATAATATGTGGAAGCACTAAACGAGTAATGGGGACAGAGTGATCGTTAAAGAATGGGGAGAGGGGGGGACAAGATGCACCCTTTCTCCACACCCTCCCCCACCTCGTTCTGACCAGAGGTGTAAAGGTCAAAATCAGGGTCGAGGCTGCAGACTCTCAGAAGGTGGCATAGGAGTTATCTAGCTCAACGCCCACATTTTACAAACAGGGAAATAGGCTGGCCTGTTGTCTCCCCTCCTATCAGCAACACAGACGCCTCTCGTTAGTAGTTTCTTCACCCTAACCTCATTTGTTTTTCTATAAGATGAAAACGGTAGAAAAGACCAAGAAAAAGATGAGCCACTTGCATGACCACCTGAAAAAAAAGTTCTTGATGGACCAGTTGAGAAAGCTGGGGCGCTGGAGACGGGAGTTCATCAGTGTCCGGCAGTACCTGGACAGCATCCGTCCGCGCAGGGTCGACTCCAGCCTAAAAGAAAAATCCAGCCGCCTTAATCAAGGTAGAAGGTCCACCCCAGAGCCATGACAACACTAGACTGACGGGGGGAGAAGACGTAGAAGCCAGCCACAGGAGAAGATGTAGAAGCCAGCCAGCACCATCGTAGAACAATAAACTGAGACCAACGGACAGTGGAGTACAGAAACCCTAGCAATTCTAATATCCTTGCCCTGCCTCGTTCCCTCTGTTCTGGTGAAGGAGATCCTGATCGCCCCCTAGCTGCCTGAGTGGAGGAGGCTTAACCAAGCCAGCATTCATGGTTAAGGCCAAGATCGACCTTCTGTGCCCATGTGTCTGAGGTGGAATGCCAGGCCAAGGGCACTGGGCAGTGGCACCTTAGATGGCAGTATATAATAAACATAGACCCACACCACCTGGGGCAGGGAAGTGGGGATGACTGCTCCAGCCCACTGCCCTGCCTCTCTATACTCAAGTTTGCAAAGTATAGGTAACATTTTTCCCAGACAGAAAATGTAAGGCTCTTCTCTCATGTGACTGAACTAAATATCTGAGGTCATCTAGGACTTGCAGTGTGGATGTTGGCAACACAGAATAGAGCCCTCCTGATTCTGGTAGTTACATTCTGCCCCACACAGAGCTTCCAGCCAGATATTCTCAAAGGGACCAGAGGTAGTATAGATCTAGTAGTAGAATAGCAGGCGAAACCTACACCAACGCATTTTCAGAATGTCCACAAGAGGGCACTATTGCAACACCTCCCTGCAGGGAGAGAGCCCTCTAGGTCTATCAATTGGGTCTTTTCAGACTAGAATTGATTACGAGGGTGCTGTTCTCAGAATGTCCACATGAGGGCACTATTGCAACACCTTCCTGCAGGGTGAGAGCCCTCTTCAGTGATGGCGAACCTTTTGAGCTCGGCTTATCAGCATTTTGAAAAACCCTAACTTAACTCTGGTGCTGTGTCACATATAGAAATTTTTTGATCTTTGAAACCATAGTAAAACAAAGACACATATTTTTGATATTTATTTTATATATTTAAATGCCATTTAACAAAGAAAAATCAACCAAAAAAATGAGTTCGTGTGTCACCTCTGACACGCCATCACTGCTAGGTCTATCAGTTGGGTTGCAGAAAGCCGCCAACCTGTGATGTGAACAGCAGCTTTCCTTCCACACTTGTGCTCTTAGTTAGATGCTGCCTATCTCCCTCTTAGCTCATGCATCTCCTTTCTTGGGTAAAATGGGACAAACCAGCACGTACCTTAGTGTCTATGGCTGGCTACAAGCTTATAAGAGAATCTGTCTGGATTTTGAATGAAGACCAATGGGAGTTGAAAGGACTGGGTTCTTACCCAGTTGTTGGCAATGTGACCTTGGGCTCAGGCATATGGGGACAGGGTTCCTGCCATCTCATGGGGCTGAGCTCAGGCAGAAGTAATGGTTGGGGCCGGCTCTGCAGCACAGGTCGGTTCAGCTATCCCAGAACCTTCCAGCCCACAGGGGACTTCACTTCTTCACTCTAGCTTTCCTGCTCCTAAGGCCCTCAGGGACAGCCTGACAGCTAGTTCTCCAAGGGATAGCATTTGACACTTTAAATATAAAAAATCTGCCCTAGCCAGCTTGGCACAGTGGATAGACCGTCGGCCTGTGGACTGCAGGGTCCTGGGTTTGATTCTGGTCGAGGGCATGTACCTCTGTTGCAGTCTCCCCCCTGGTCCAGCCCTGGTCGGGGCACGTGCAGGAGGCAACCAATTGATGTGTTTCTCTCACGCTGATATTTCTCTCTGTCTTTCCCTCTCTCTCTTCCACTCTCTCTAAAAATCAATGGAAAACTATCTTCAGGTGAGGATAAAATTTTTTAAAAAATATGCCCTAACTGGTTTGGCTCAGTGGATAGAGCGTCAGCCTGTGGACTGAAAGGTCCCAGGTTCGATTCTGGTCAAGGGCATGTGCCTTGGTTGCGGGCACATCCCCAATAGGGGGTGTGTAGGAGGCAGCTGATCGATGTTTCTAACTATCCCTCTCCCTTTAAAAAAAAAAAATCAATAAAATAAAAGTGAAAACTCTCCCTTATGCCCAGGAGGTCCACACTCTGTGGGATAAATGGCACTCGCTCCTCACGGTGTGTCCACCAGATGCAGCCGGACGCTTGTTGCCTCTCTTGCCCTGCTCTTTCGGGTATGCTGAGCCCTTTGTCATTTCCCAGGCAAGGTGTTCTCTCCGAGTTGGGACTTTGTACATGCTGGTTCCTTTGCCTTGAATGCCCTTCCACACCCTGACCTCCTAACTCCGTGCAAACCATGTCCTTTCTGTGGCGCCTTCTTCACCCGCTCTGTCATGCTTTTAGTGCAGGAGTCAAAACATATCATTAACATTCACTTGCCACCTGGCTTCCCTCCTTGGGGGCTGCACACACATCTGGCACAAACAGCAGGCCCGGGCAAGCGCGCTCTGTCTGAGGTCTCTGGAGGACCTCAGGAGAATATTCATCAGCTTTCGGCCGCCATGTCTCTCCTCAGGGTCCTGGGCTCCACTGATTGGTCCTGCTGGGGAGGGGTCATTAGTCACTGCAGCTGGTGCTGATGTCACCAGGGCAGGCTCCGCCTGGTTCTGCCGCTTTCCTGGGCTTGGCGCTGATACACAGCTGAGGCCTAGCTGCCATCTCCAGGGGTCACTGCTTAAAGGGAGTGTCCTGCCAAGGCTGGTAGTAACGCCCGTTGTTAGGCACCCGAGGCCCTCTGCACCTGGCCCCTCCTTCCTGTTCTGCTCATGCCTGGCTCACTGGCCGCAGCCTTATCAGGAGCAAAGATCAAGAATAAACCCCGGGAGGGGGCAGGGGAAGGTAAGGCCGGTGCGATGAGCGGAGGGGAGCCTTCCTGCCCACAGGTCTAGAGTCGGAAGGGACCGGGCGGAAGCCGGATCCCTAGCCTTTCCGCTTGTATTTCTGATTACCTGTGGTAACCATTGACCTTTCCCTTTAGGATGGAGCCTTTAAATCAGTGATGTCTAACCTTTCTAGGATCACAGACTCCTTTGGAAAAGCCATGAAAACTATGGACCTTCTTTCCAGAAAAACTGCACAGACGCGGGAAAGTCCGCAGACTCCTGCAGAGGCCTCACGGACCGTCAGCAGAAGTTACCCCGGGGATGTCGAGGATCCAAGTTAAGAATCCGCTTTCAGACAAAACTCTGTCTTCCTTTACGGAGAGCCGGGCCATGGCGCCACGTGCAGTGCCCTGGTGTGAACCAGGGGCCAGCTGGCCAGGAGGCGAGGGCAGCGGTGGCTTTGCGTCACCGCCTGGGCGTCGCGGGAAGGACCCACAGGCAGGTAAGGGCCACCGTGGGGGCGGGAGGCGTCCATCTCCGCGCTGGGCGTCAGCTGGCCATTTGTGCTTCGGGCGCACTTACTGGTTTCTGGGCGCGGCGCCTGCTCCCTGCCTATCCCTCGCCCCCGGGTTTCGGGAGCGAACCCATCCGGGACAGACAGCCGGAGGGCTCCGCGTTCATCGCTGTTACCCCAGAAGCTGGCACGGGTTGGGGTGCAGGCTGGGATGGTGGCCTGGAGCTCCCCGTCCCTCCCCGACGCCCGCCCACCACGCTCTCGCCCCACAGGTGTTCCCAGGACGCCTTCCAAGGGCTGGGCCCTGAGCGGGGCGCTGGCGACGCCAGAGACGGCCCGGGGTCCGAGTCCCGGCCGTGGAGCGCGAGGAGGACACAGCCCGCCGGCCCGGCTGCGTGGGGCTGATCGGCCCGGCGGAGGGGCCCGCGCTCGCACCG